GGATAGAAGGGCTGGGCAGATAGACATGCATGCCTGACCCGCATGCCAAATAGCCATCTTTGTGCCCACCCACTTCCCTCACCAACGCTTCGTCTTGCTCGGAACACACATGTTCACTCTCACATGGCGTGTTTCCTCTTGGGGCTTCCACATGTGCACGCATGCATTCTTGTATGCGTTTCATACAAATCACTGCGGCAGCTCTAACACACCTGACCCTCACCTGCCTGCAAGGAAGGAAACGGGGACCCTCCCCTGGAAAGATGCAGACTATGTTGAACAGCAGCAGGAGATGAAATGTGTGCTAACTGGTCAGCTTCTGCTCCCATGAAGAGAAGGCTGGTAAACACTCATGTCCATCATGCAGCAACATATCCATCTCACAGAGCCGGGATGAAAGCCTCGCCTGAAGGATGGAAGGAGCAGGTTAGAGAGTTACCGTTTGCACTTAGTGACTCTGCATCTTCACGCTCCACATGACTCCCTCCTTTTCCTCCCCTCATTCCATTCCTTTTTTTTTTTTTTTCTTCTTCTCCACTGCGGCTCAGTGTATTCCCGCGCCCAGAAGAGCTGGCAGTCCCCTCTCGCTGATTCTGGTAGTAGTGCCTAAAAGGCACTAAGCATGTCTCCAGACCTTCCTCCTCCTCCTCCTCCCTTCCGTCACTCTATCTCCCCTCCATTCCTGTAAGAGATGATGAAGAAGCCCTTTCCTCCTCCTCCTCCTCTGGCTCTTATTTCCTCCGCTGTCGCTTCCTCACACACGGTACAGCATGTTCATTGCCAACCATATGATATCACAGTTTCCTTATATGGGAAGCAGGGGGTTGCCATGACAACAGCAGACTCCACCTGTTTCCACCTCTTATTATTTTAAATCAGATTAATGATTGAATGAAGAGGAAAAGAAGTAATGGGGATGTGACACAGGGTGCAGAACTAAACATGGAGATTAGAGAATACTTTACAGCCTCTTCAATGCGATAAATTAAACAATCCAAAAGAAACAATGCAATTCCCTATGAATGACCTTAGATATTTCAAGTAGTTCATATGATGGAAAGGTTTGGAAAGCAAAAGTATTTTTAAGCAGTTTGAGAGCCATAAATTGAATGTGAGCAGTCGTTCCACTTTGGAAAGTCAATAAAAAGGCATATTACTTTTTTATGAGAACAAAAAAGCTGTATATAAAATCATAATCACTAATTTTCCAACAAATACCCTGAAGTGTTTTAATTAGTTTGCCATAGTTGTCAGTTCTTTTTAAATATAAACATCTGTAATAGATTGACCAACCATTAACTCGAGCTCACCAGGTTTCTATATCAACCATTAAACTTTCTATACATCCCATGCAACACTTTCCAAACATGTGTGACTTGAAAACAACATGTTCTGCTCAACTATTATAGGGGAAAACATATTACTGGGACTTTAACTGGAACATTAGGCACAAAACATCTTACTCGTCGCTAGTCTTTAGCTCATTAATCTGGAGCTCTGACTCTTTCTCATGTTGCTACAGACTGCAGGTCAGCGGGCTGAAAAAAACCCTCCTACACTTTATCCACACATTTGCAAAAAAGATGTAGCCCTTTGGATATATTTTATAACAAAAAGAATAAAGCCAAAGTGTGGACATTTGAGCAGGTCCCACTATCACCATTATTAATTTAAAGCATTTTAAAATGACAGCTAACAGCCTCCTCTGGTCAAATCAGCTTTTGGGTCAGAGCAGCTTATTATAACCCTGCTGTTCTTTTAACAAATGGTCCACATTGGGTCTTTACTGAGAATTATGATCAAAAATTCAGTTTTTGGCTAAATCCAAAGAGAAATAAGCTATCTTTAGCCAGAACACCCCCATCCTGTGAAACGGAAACAGAAACAGAAAACCTGTGAAATGAGCTAAAGAAAAGAGCAAAGGAGAGGACGACTGAGCATCCAAAAAACAGAGCAGTGGATTATAAACTCAGATCTTTAAATTATTTTGTGCCTCAGTTCGATTCAGGACTTTTACAACTTGGACTCCAAGCAAAGGCATTTGCTCTAGATGGACACGTCATGGAAAGTTATTTTATGGTGAGATTTAAACTCTTTTTGAAATTTAAAATGACAGATTAAGCATAATGTGGATGCATTGTAACAATATGTTTTACTACTACAATGTATACAGATGTCCACTTTCTCCGATCAGTGAGTGGTGATGCAAGACACCTGCACAGTGACAGCAACTGCAAACTGAACTGAAGTTGCATTATATACAGCAGACTGCTACAGTAATTGCCTTTGCTCAGCCTTCCTAAAGAAAAGCCTAATCACCAGAAATGGCATCATACCATGTTGCAACAGCCCTATATGATAAACTTTTGAAAAAATGGCAGCGATATGAGGAGGGGAGACATAACAGAGAAGCCAAATATTTTTCTTCTGGGATGGAAAAACAGCAGCAGGAAACCACTAATATTTCATAACAGATTAATACTCCATGATGCCCGGGGCAATATTTTACTATATGTACAGTGGGGAGAACAAGTATTTGATACACTGTTGATTTTTCAGGTTTTCCCACTTTCAAAGCTTGTAGAAGACTGTAATTTTTATCATAGGTACTCTTCAACTGTGAGTGATGAAATCTAAAACAAAAATCCAGAAAAATACAATGTATGATTTTTAAATAATTAATTCCCATTTTATTGTGTGAAATAAGTATTTCTCCCATGTGAGATCAAAAAAGTTCAGTTATCATCGTCATTATATTGAGGGGAAAACAAGTTTTGCTTGATAAACTGGGAATGTATAACACATCTACTGGTACCAGCAAGTCTTCTCTTCTATAATTCTGGTGATGATTATAAACATAAATCTTTGGTGCGGTGTTAAAAAGAAATCCATTATGACAATTGATCACTATTATTTTCTTAATTAATTAGGTGTTTATATGTCTGAAAAATATAGGTTACATGGAATTTTGTGTAAACTTGGGTCAAAAGGTATAGACAGTTGCTTTAAGCCAAACATAAAAAGCTGAGTCAGATAATTCTGTTCTATGCATAAAGTCACACCAGGTTGTAATTCATTAATAGTGGGTTACAAAGCCAAGAAAATAAAGATTTGTGGTGGCACAGAATCTAATTTCACCCATTTTTCGAAGACCTGTGACTCCCTACCTTTTATTGCTCACGCTTTCTGACAATAAGCAAAAAGCAGGGCCATCAGTGACCCAGCCAGGAGGTCATAATGATGCTATTGTTTCTTTAAGAGGGCCCAGAGGCATCGCACCACTTAATGCGCTCATGTGGGGTTCCAGGAACCACCCGTGTGCTGCCATTATCTCTCAGGGAGTAAATGTTCACATGTGGAAACAGAAAGCACTCCAAAGGGCTCATTTTCAACCTGTGGTGAGACTCTCCTGTTCTAAAGCTACTGGTACATGAAGCTGAATCAAAGCAGAAATCTGGAATTTACTTTTAGGAATGTTGTTAATGTAACATATGTTGTTAGAAGTTTCTGTCATATAGATGTAACAGGCAATAATTTCATTTTCATCCCTATTGCATCAGCAGCAAAGTGATTTACAGCTGCAAAATAAGACAAAAAGGCATTTGTACAGCATAGGGAAATATATTAGTTAAAATATATTAGATAAAGGTGCACCTCTGCTTGTTCATCCAACATGAGCCCTATCTTTGCACTGCTGGTGCCATATTTATTTTTCTTGTTCATTTGGCTGCTTTAATTTACTCCACAGAGTCCCCTTCCTACACGGTGAGCTCCTCACCAGAGAACAGAATACAGCTTGAAAGCCACAGCAGCACCAATAATTAAGTCAAGCTTAATGCTTTTTAAAATGCAATTGATATGAACATTATAACCAACTAGAAACATCAGGTTACATATTTTTTTTTTGTATCTGATAGTGATTAAGTAAGACAAAATACAGGCATACAATTTCAAGCAGACAAACAGGAACAAGTATTCTGCACGCATACATATCAGAGGATAAAAGAGAATAACCATTTAACATCAAATCATGTTTTTTGAAAATCTTGGTCAAAGGAAGAAAAGACTTTAACCAAAATTTAAACATGGGACCTACTTGCTGCAAGAATAGCAACACTTTTTCCACTGGCAGCATTATCACTGTTGGAATCACTGCACCCTGGAAGTGTTATGGTTCCCCCCTTTTGGGATTTTGAGTTTTCACTCAAAGTAATTCTGTTTTGTTGATCTTTGGTTTATTTTCTGTTTTGTGTTATATTTAAGCCAGTCTTTAGTTACTCTCTGTTGCCCCCTTGTGTCTGTCTCCTTTCCCCTACCTCCCTTCTAGTCATTTCCATCCACACCTGTTCCATATCTGCTAATTAGCTTGGTCTTCTTTCAGTCTCCCATTTTTAAACCTCATGTTCAGTCACGGATGGCTGGTTCCTTGTTGTTGTTAGTTGCTTCCTCAACTCTGACACCCAAAGTGAGTTTTCCCTGACGTTTGCTGATTTTTTGATTCTAAGTATTTTTGTGTCTTTGGATGTTTGCCTCAGTTTTTCATTAAACCTACAAGGATTCATCTCTGCTTCTGGGTCCTCAAGCAACCTCATCCCCCATTTTGAGAGGAAGATGATTTAAGAAACTTCCAAACATTTTAAGGCTCTAATGGAAATATTTGTGGTCCAGTATAACCTTATCCCAGCCGTCCATCATAAACTACACATACAAACTAAAAAGGTTTGGCAAACTCTAACTGAACAGGCTACAATCATGGTGACTTTAAAGGTTGTAATTCAGGATCCTCATCCAGTTTCATATTGGTCTGTATGCATGGTATTTTCTCTTTGCTTTTTTTAATATCTGTTTTCAGAGAGCATTAACTTTGCCTCCTTAAAATGCTAAAATAAGCCAAATAAACTGAAGGCTAAAAAAAAAAACAGCATTACAGCAGGAAAGTATTCAAGGTTCAGAAATAGAAACATTGATTTCTTCATTATTCTGTTCGTTTGTGAGGATACCTGTCGGCCAGCAGCTGCAGGGCCCTGAGACAAGCTGCCCGGACTGTTTGTGTACTTGTTCTTCTGAAGGTCCATCAGGGCGTCCCTCTGCCGTTCGATATCCGCCTTGTGTATGCTGTTCAGGGCCTCCAAGCTTTTAGCGGCCACAGAATTGTGCCGGCGGTCCAGCGAGGACGATGTGAACCCCCCATTGCTGTTGTCTGGGAAGCGGCGTGCCCCACGGCCGCCACTGGCAGCCAGGGTGTGGTAATCCCGTGGGAACTCAGCATCACCTGCAGAGATCATGGAATCCTTTCTCTTGTCTCGAGCTGAAGAAGGGAAGACATTTGAGGAAAGGAAAAACAAGGGTTACAAAGTGAGGCATTAAACTGAAAAGCAGATTGATACAGTGATAAGAAGATACGATAAAAGTTTAACACTGGGGACATTTCAATGTCTGAAACTCTGAGGTTAAATCTTACAAACTGGGGAACTTTGAGTAAGAGTGACCTTAAACTCAAAAATCAAGTTTACATAGGTGCATGAGCATTAAGATAATGACAACATTTAACTAATTTTACGATGATTTTAAAAATATTGTCTTGTTTTTTACTAGAGGGTCATAAATATTCATGCAGGCCATGAACCTGTACTAATATTTTATTTCAACGATTAAGTTGCACTGTAATTAAATTATTTTTGTTTTGTTTTTTTGCATTGCTCCGAAAATTAATTGACCACTCTTGATGGAAGAATTAATAGGGTTTAATTAAACTAGTGTGTTTCCTGGGACAGTCAGCTTTTAGACATAAACACATTTTCATAAAAGCTTCAAGTGAAATACTAAACAGCTCATAAGCTTAGTATATTTTGCAAAAACATTTCCTGATGTGCTTTTGATTATTGGCCTTTTGGACAAATAAGTTGTTTACATTCATTTTAAACCACGTGACTCAAAATATAACCCTAGGATCAAACAAACTGGGTTTGGATGTAAAGGAATAACATTGCAACCAGAAATCTTGACTGCTGTTGAAATTTTGGAACAACTTAACCACCAGGATCATCCAATTAGGACAGTTTTAACATCATCATGCATTTGACGAGTACTAAACAAGGAACCTCTGCTCTATAATTGGGTGTTTAAACACAAGTCAAAAACTTCCTGAAAAAAAGATTTTAAGCTTAAACATGGCAGAATCTGATCCTTTTTCCATCCTAAACGAATATGCCTGGATGAGTCAAGGAAACACGAAACAAGATAATGAGCTGTCAACATTATGGTGGCAGCATTACACAGAGAGGCATCTCTGGTGCAATTTACACTGATACATTGCATAAAGCTTATGGAGTAGTAAATCATAGGATTAAAACAATTCTTTATGAAAGTTGTTCACTTCAAATCAACACATACCTAAAAGGCTAAAACTGAGCTTCTGGAACAGCTTTTCTGAGGTTTATCCCACATAAACCCTCAAATGTTTGGACTATGTTTCATAGCCATTTTTTTCATCGAAATTAACGATTTTAAAAGGAAAAGTGAGAAAATCTGGACAGCATGTTTATGACAGAGCCTGTAGGGTATCTACAGATTTGAATTTAAGGAAACAGAACAAAGCAAAAAACAACATAATGGAGTTTAATTTTCTTTCCACTAAAAAATACTGTACACATAAAGTAATAAAACAAAATACAGGATTATCATCAATAACAATTATTTAATAGAGCAGCAATATATGATTGAGCTTAACTGGAGCTAACATAGAGTCCAACAAAACTGGTTTCTAGATATATTAAACACAAAAAATTTTTTATTAAGAACAAATCTTAAATGTTAGCTTCATATACATGTAAGCAGATATCGAGAGAAATTTTGAGGTTAAATATAAGCAAAGAGCCCAAAAGAAAAACACCTTACATCTTAAAATCAACCAGAGATTTAAGAGATTTTGCTGTAGGAATAGACTGGATACAGTTGTTTTTTTTATTACTAATTAAACCTAAATAATTATCCTGATAAGTTATCAATTTAGGGAGGTATACTTTTTATCTACATTTTTGCCAACAAATCAATAAGGGGGAAAAAATGCTAATCAATTTCAATTCCCGGCTTTGTAATAACCCTCCTTTCTCTGCTCATATATCATATTAGTTTGGTTTTACCTCTTTTGTTAAGCATTTGGACACGTTGCGGTTTTCAAGGGTCAAATTTTCAAAAAATCTACTTGAACCACTATGAAATGTTTAAGGTTCGTGTTGTGCTTCATTATCTACAAAGTTATGCAGTTACTGGTTTCTTCTTTTATTGGGGAATAATTTTAGTATTACTGAAATCATACCCCTTGTATACTTTTTACAATATTGGAGTATTGCCCATGTGTAACCTCAGCAGTCTGTAGCTGTAGACAAAACATTTAGATAAACAAAAAGTCATTAAAATCCTTATTCAGGTTCATTATGGTCAGTTCCAGGTGTGAAATCGAAGGTAGCATAACTGAATCAAATGGCAGTTTGAAGCATCTTATTTCACCATGGGAGATTTTTTAGGGTCATTGTTGGCTACATGTTATTATCAGCACAGACTGTACCATTATTTTTACCATCCTCATCAAAATATCAACATTAAAAACCTTTGACTAATATTTTACATGGCCAAAAAGGCATAGGCTACTTCACAAGAAAGACTAATTGTTTCAAAATTTGTGAATTCACAAACTCCCGAAAATACATCTTGGAAGAGGCCAAAAGATGCAGTAGCCTCGATACAGAAAATCTTTGGACCAATGAAATGCAAGACGCATATAACATCAACCAGAAGCGGATCTCTGAAGCACAACAAATGCGGCTGCTTCAATTTTAGCTGGAATATCCTCTATTTATTTTTGCAAAATTAGCTAAATGTGCTTCTCTGAATGGGGAAAATGTTTGCACGTTCTTCCCGACAGGATTTGGCAAGAGTTTGATTTATTAGGCTACGTTCACACTGCTGCCTGAAGTGACCCAAATCCGATTTTTTTTTGGCCCATATGCAACCTGGTTCTGATCTTTTCATGGCTGTCTAAACAACACAGATCCGATTTTTTCCAATCTGACCCAGGCCGCTTGGCTATGTGGTCCTGAATCTGAAAGGAATCTGATCTTTTCAAATGAGACCTGTGTCTGCCAGCCAGGTCGCATCCGACCTGAACGCCATTTATACCCGACAGTGATCACTATTCTGCGTCTTGCTATGCATTCCACAGACAGCTCCCCATTTGTGGAATGTCCTCCCAGACCACCTTAGGGCCCCAAAGATGGTGGATTGTTTTAAGAAAGGATTGAAAACTTTCCTTTTTAGAAATGCCTACAATTGTTGATTTTAAATTTTTTTAATAGGCTACGTATGCCTTTTAATGTATTGATTTTAATGTTTGTCTTTTTACTCTGTTTTTAATGTTATGGTCTTTTAAACTTGTTTAATTTTCCCTTTTTTTAAATGTAGCACTTTGTAGCACTTTGAGATTTGAAGTCAAATGTAAAGTGTGTTATAAATAAAATTCATTATTATTATTATTATTATTATTATTATTATTATTATGCAAAAGCGGCAAGAAAAACAACAACCATGGCAGATGATGATGTGGAGAGCAGTATTTATGTTTAACCATATTGAAAAGATTGAGTTTTTATGGTTGGAAAAGATCGCTAGATGCACTACCATCCATGTTTACTTCCGTAAACACAGAACACACTGGCTTGTGACGTCATTGCGTCCTCTACTGCGCATGCGGGACACTTGCGTTGTGTGACTGCAGTTCACACAGGAGATCACAAACAAGTCGCATATATTTGGAAATATGAACGGCAATGCAAAAAAAAAATCAGAATTGAGCAATAAGGCCTGCAGTGTGAATGTAGGCTTAGTTAAATTTGCTAGTTGTGAAACAAATAATTTGTTACGGCACACTTTCTACCACTGCTACAATTGGCTAAAAGCTCTACATTGGAGCCATGTGCCACTTGATTAACCCAATCAACTTGAAGTATTATACTGAATATCCCTCCCTTAAACAACCACTTTCTACAGGTGCCTTTGCAGATGAAAACTGTGTATAGAATTCAACTGAACTAAAAAATCTGGCTTATGCCAGGTTATGATAAAACAATAAGAAAAACTAAACGTATGAGCAGACAAAAACAATATCTTATGATTTGATTCATATTTTAAACCACGACTTATTCCAATTCAACATAATCTTGTTTTTTTGCATTATGATATGGTTCTTATTATAGAGTCTCTGCTCTATTGACGACTTGCTTTACTCATGGACTGGTTACAGAGAACAACCCAATCTTAGAGAAAAATGAAATAGCTAAATGGACTTTATGCATCACCTTAAACTAGGATGATTTAAATGTTCAATGAAGTAAAACCCATATGCATTTTGCGGGCTTTAACTGCAGATAACAGTAAACACCCTAATGATATTTTACCTAATCTCTTTTATTTAATTTACATATACAACTGTATTTATTTAGTCTTATAACTGAACACAAAAATTGTTTTTTACTCCTGCCAGAATATTTAAAGGTGTTTTTAAAAGGTGCACATCCAATCCAAATCAGTTCCTCTTGCTAAACTTCTGCAAAAAAATGAAACAAGTAAAAAAACATTTCCTGTTTGGATAAACCAAGAAGTTTCCGCATCTCTACATGCACACATGAGACTGTGAGAAAACACGCCTCTGGCATTTTAGCCGCATGCGAAAAACAAGGGGAACATCTGTCTGCTTCTACAACTGTAACTGTCCTGGGAACCCTTAGGCAAGACAAAACAGTCATGTAGAAAACTTATTATGTGAGACCAAAGAGGCTTCGTCTGACACTCATTCAATGGAAAGTGACAGAAATAGGAATGTTTGTCTCCAGGGGAAATGTAGTTTAGTGCCCTCTTGTGCCCATTTATACACAAGCAACACTTCCCTGCAGAAGGTGATCAGTCACAGTAAGTTTGAGGTTAGTTAAATTGAATTTTAAATTAATTGAATAGAACAGTAGAAATGTCAAAGAATTAATTCATATTAAAGAATATAATGCAGAAACAGTATGTAAAGATGCACTTTGTAGAAAACAACAGAAACATTTTACAGTACACAGAAGGTCATAGGAACAGATTTATGCATTGCTGATGTGTGGAAATAGGTTTCATTGTTTGCTGACAATGCCCTTTTCTTAATCAGATTACATTTTGATACCTAAAACAAGTCAAATTATATCACTCCTGCATATTCTCTTCCAGCTTTAAGTGAAAAATAATCTAATAGTTTTTCTATTATGCCAGAGAGAGCCT